AGATAGATAGATAGATAGATAGATAGATAGATAGATAGATAGATAGATAGATAGATAGATACGTATATATGTAATAAATTTAATCAAGAATATTGAATCAAAATTCAAATGTGGTAATGAGAATCAATTTTTACGCAACAAAAATATAAAATATTATAACTAAATATTAAAAAGAATGTAAGCATTTAGACATCCTACAATTTAAGTTTCGTTTTAAGAGTAAAAAAGGAACCCAAAAATGAATTAACATCAAATTAAAACTAGAAAGTATAAAAACTATAGATAAACAGAATATATTTAAACAAATAAAATATGAATGCACTGAATAAAGTGTATACAATTATTAGTAAATAACTGTTTCAATAATAATAATTATGTCTTAAAAATACTGGCAAACAGTTATTTGAGCAAATTTTATATTCATTTTCTTAAATTAAAGTAAAATTGTAATTTTATTAAAATTAAATTAAATAAAATTTTTGTTGCAATTTTAAATAATACATATTTGTATTAATGTTCCTTAATTTTAGTATATAAATTTTCTAATATACAATTCAAATAAAGATAAAATAATCTTCTTGTAATAAATCAATGATTTCGTTTCCAAGAATCCAATAGTAGAGATGTCAAGAGAGTTGGCCACTAAATCCTGATATATGAGAAACCTATATAAGTTTTTTCCATAATATTTTATGGATGAACGTGGTTTGAGAAAAGAAATTTTTGGGAAACGAATATTGCATTTTTGAGAAACTGGGATCAGATAGAATTACTTTGATTTCACATGAATCATGCGTAATGTGGAATTTCAATAAGTAAAAATGTGATATTTCTTATTCTTCTTCATTATATTCGCCCATACATGAATTCTTTTCTTTATTCTTGGGACATTAATTTTATATTGTTTAAAATTTTGTTTTCCCTGAAGAGATGTGTGTTTTTTTTTAAATACATATTTAATGCCTATGTTTATACCCATCTAGAAATCTATTGAGTTTAGAAAAAAGTATCATAACCAGCTTGTGCAATATTGTAAGGGATTATACAAATATGCATATGAATCGTGCGTTAAGTTTTTATAATAAAATAATTGTAACTATTTCAATAACTATTAAAATATTTTTTCTGACCAAGTGAAAAATTAACACGCTGAACACGTGAAAAATTAGCGTGAGAAATAAAGTAGCGATGGCAGCACCTCGTTTAGGGTTATTTTGTTTTATAACCGTCGTCGACCGTAACTCTTTGATCAAGTATTGGAAAACATTTGCTTTCGTGGGGAATTTTTTGATGGAACTAATTTACGTTACATGGAGAGGAAAAGTACGAAAACATCTAGCGGTTAGCTTGACGGT